AAATAACAATAACACTCCAACCTTACATGAGTAATTCATTTATTCATTAAATGTATTCATGTGAATATAGTAGCACTACTTGTATGAGACAAGAAACATACATGTACACAATTATAGGATAGGGCTTCTATTGGTATCCATAATGTTTTAGGAATATAAATGCCACCTTCTTTTCCTTGTTAGTAACCATACATACCTAATGGAACTTAGTTATGGAAGTACATTTGTATCAAGTAGACACATATTAAGCCCCTAAAAACCAGAAATTAGTGATGGGTTAATTCATGTTGCTGTACCTCAAAACCTATCAGTTGAAAATATAACCCAGACTTCAATGCTTTGGGGGTTTTAGGACTGATAATAAGGAACAAAGGAAAAACAGAAAGAAACAAACAAATGTTATTATAGGCTGAAAATAGGTAGCAGACAGCAAAGACAAACAGATTCAAAGAAGCATTGAAAATACACAGAACAGAGAAGGAAGAAACTTTAAAAGAAAAAATAAATGCAACGGAGATAATTCTTTCATCACTTCCATTCTTGTGAAAGAAAAAAAAAAGATGAGACTCAGACCCAGTTATTCCATCATAGATAAGGGATTCATATGTGCTATCTGAGATTTTGGGAGTGTTCCCAAGAAATAAAAAACCCCACAGGATTCCAAATTTAATTGTCTTTATGCAGCTTCCAAGACAGGTTTCTTTCTGTGAGATAAATAGTTATACTGAGCACTTAAACTATAGCTACTCTGAATTTTAGAGCAAAATAACTGGAGAAAAAATATGCTAGAGTTTGATTAATATGCTAAAGTTTGAAATTACTCAAGATCCAGACTGAACTTGCTGTCCCCAAAGGAAATGCCTTGTAGTAAGATATTGCAATCAAGGATCTTTAAAAAAAATGTAAGGATGACAAATTGTTATTAGAACAGAACAATTTGTAGGGATGGCAGACAGGGTCCACTTAGGGAAATGCTATATCCTTAATTGAACTGCATCATAAAACAAGGTATAAAATGAGCTAGTCACCAAGAAACTTGCACTGGGTAGAGAAGACTAATACATCACTTTCTCTCTTTCAAAACAAATAGAGGCTATGTCTTAAACCCAATTATTTCTCATAGCTATTACAATACATTCATATTTTGAGGGGAAGGTAGGAAACAATAAAACCCATAAACAAGAGGGAAAAGGAGAAAGACAAAGACAGACAGACAGACAGGCAACAAAGATACCAAGCACAAAATCTGCTGCATTATCTTTGGCAAACGTCAATATTTGCAGGCTCATCACAAATTAAAATGACAAATCCTTAAGCAATTATTTATGTTCAGAGTCTAGTAAAAATATTTGTAGAGCCAAAGCCAAGTAAAAAACAAACAATGATAGAAAGGCCAGATTCTGCCCTGTACAGCTCCAATGTTTGCTGTTTCTCAGTAATTGCCAAATGATTTGGATAAATAATTTTCATGCTACATGGCTCCCTTTTAGCTGATGTAGATCAGTGTAGCTCCATGGACATCAATGAAGAAATGCTGCCTTATATCGCTCCACAACTTGCTCTTGTACTGGCTGTTTTGACCATTCATTGGTTTATGCTTGGTTGCCTACAGGGAGTCTCAGAATATCATTTTTGGTCACAGTTTAAGAATTGAAACCTATTTTCGGTTTAAACAGGAGAATACTGGTAATAGTGAATAATGAATAGTAAATCATGAATAATGAATAATGGGCCTCCAATAAGCAATTCTAGAATTGGGGTCATTTTCCTAAATATCCAGTGATGGTTTGGAGAGTTACAGCTGCATGAGGACAGATGGGAGCAACAAGATGGCTTGGCACATTGCTTTGGTAGATAGGAAGGGGAGGAGTGAGCAGCAGTGAGCACAAAAGGTTAGTAGCAAGCTCACATGAGCAAAGACTTAAAGGACAGGAAGTCAAAATGGGTCTGGAGGCAATCAGAAATCAATGAAAGTATTTGGAAATGGATGGCATTATTTGAAGTGGCAAGCATGAGGTGGTGTACCCAGCACTGTGGTGCATAAACTGAGGCACAGCTAGCAAGGAAACCAGTTAGATATTGTATCCAGTATGATTGGCTTCATAGAAAAACCACACACCAAAGGAAGTAACTCTAGCAAAATGGTTACTGCAGTGTTGTGAAGGAGGAGCTTCTTCATGCTGACTGACTGCTCTGTCATGACCTGTTGTGATCCTGCTGTACTTCTAACCTGAGACATGGGAGTGGCATGGAGCTGGAAGAAGAAAGCCTGTAGGTACCAGCAACAGGGCAGGGGCCAGACAGAAAGAGGGAGTGGGGAGAGGGCAGGATGCAGCTGCTGTTCTCTCTGATTCATGTCTGCTGGTGTTTCTGTTTCTCTCCACAGGCTTAAGAGCACCTTTGTACTTTGTCTGATTGATATCAGTAAGTCCAGTGAGGGGCCCTGTTTATACTAGAGGAGAGCAGGAGCTTTGCAGTTGAAGGGGTGAAAGCCCTTTGAGCCTTAAGGCTGGGGACAGACATTACACATAAACTGATTTAAATGATCAGAAACTAGTTTAAACCTGTAACAGAACAGATGTTCAGTGCATATAAACCAGTTTTGAAATGGCCCACACCGGTTTAAGATAAACCTGGTTGAATGTAGTATTAGACTTAACTGATTTGGCTCAAACTGGTTTATGCAATGTCTATGCTAGACCCCAGGCTGATTTCAGATAAGCCAGACACCCCCAGCATCCCAGCATGCTCTCTGGGCTAGGCGGGGCTCTCTGCTTCACAGCAGCGGGGGGGCCTCCCCTCTGCTCTGTGGGGAGAGCTCCTCCTGCACAGACTTGCAGACACGGTAGGGTCTGCTGGCTTCCCCATGTCCCTCCCTCCCACTTGCTATTTAAGAAGGGATCCTTTCCTCCCCTCTCCCACAGCACAGACCATAGCCAGAATGTGGTATGCTAGCTAGTGCTGTATAAGGCTTCAGCAGAGACTGCAGACACAGCAGGGTCTGCTGGCTTCCCCTGCCCTACCCCACTCTTCTGCTCAAGCAAGAAATCCCACCCCCACACACTTCCTCCCTCGCATCTCCCACAGCACGGACCTCAGCCCCATGGACCTCAGGCATTTGGTGTGCTAGCTAATGCCGAGTGGTGTCTCTGTGTATGTCTCTCCAATTTCATTGGGCCAGGCAAGCAGACATAACAAGGTTTTTGGAGCTAATCAACAGGTCACCTTGGTAAACTGTTTATGAAGAGTTTGAACTAATGGGAGAGAAGCTATTGTTTTGCTAATCAGGTGATAAAAACTCTTATCAGCTCTGGGCTACCTTGCTGGCCTGTCAGTTTGTTGCAGACAATCTGACAAGCAGGGAGGCAGATAGAAAACATGGGTGACCGGTGCTGCCTTAGTCAGGGGAGGCACATGCCTCCCCAGCGACCAGTCAGCGACTGGGGGGTGTCTCCCAAAAGGCTCTTTCGCTGACTGGGGGCAGGGTGGGGGTCAGCTGCAGCTGCTTCTGGAAGTGGCTGCAGCTGCTTCTGGGAGCGCAGCGGTGCTCCACTCCCTGGCCAGCGCTTAAGCGGCAAGTGCAGCCAGTCGGGGGTGCACCAGTACCCCCATGCACCCCCTATGTGTCACCACTGATTGATACAGAGCTTGTCATCAACAAATGCATGCACTGCACACCCTCTTTGCCTCAGAGTGCTAGCAAGGGTCTAGGGGCTGACAACTCTCCCACCCCCTGAGCAGCAGTGGAGAAAAGCCTGGCATGGTGCAGGCCTAATCCACTCCCTTATCTCCCTAATGAGAAATCCTGCTGGGGTCTGGCCATGCCCCTCTCAGCTCAACTCTGTGCAAGGGAAGGGAAAGCTGCTCTAGCGCCCCCCTCCTCCCCCGCCGTGCTTCTAGCCTGAGCCACTGCAGGCACGTGCCTGAATTTCCTTAGTCCAGAAGGATTGTCCGTATGGTTGGAAACTGGTTCAGGCTCAGGCTTTTTGAATGTCTGTCCTTAGCCTAGAGGGCCAAAAAAGTTGTGATCATTCCCCTCATGCACATGGAATTCCATGTTCCTAAATGCAAAAGGAATGGAGTTTGTAATCTGTTTATACAACTGGAGTTAAATTGTGGGAAAAGAAAAAAACAAAGAAATTTCCCGCCTTCCTAACAGTCTCCCAATGACATCCAGTCCTCATCCAGGGTCTAGCAAAGCTGGGAGTAAACACATCCTTTTCTTTCCCCTATATGCTAGTTACTGTTTGAGCTCTAGTCTAGATGATGACAGAAAAGAATTACTCAGGAGAGTACAAATTAGAGAGGGTACTGTCTATACAACTTTTTTGTACTAGATGGCAGGATCTGCTGACATGGCTTTCTGTAACTTTCTCCTTGACAGAATCCCAGCACTTTGTCTTGGTGCTTCTGTGTGAATAAGTAAGAAGGAAGAAGATTGCAGCCCCTCTCAAGTTATACATAGGTGTAGCTTACTCTAATAAATATTACTTTTCCATGTTCAGAGAGAGAGAGTGATGGAGAGAAAGCAGATCTACAGGCAGTGGGCTTGGAAATCCCAACACTGTAAACTGCTTTCATGTGAACAGAAGGCAATAAGAAATAAATTCCCATTTACTCCAGCAATTGATAATCTTGCCAAACCACAAGAGCTATTTTATATTCAGTGTATAAATTTGACTAAATATCTTACATTGCTTCTGGGACACATGTAAGGTTAATACAGGACACCATTAGGTTGTATTGTAGGCCAAATTCTGATCTTTTTGATTAGTGGACCCAGGTATGGCTCTATATGCAATGCATCATGCTGAATTTCCTTACATTTCACACCTGACAGTTTGCTTTGCTTTGAATTCCCCAATCTCTGGCTCTCTGTGACCTGGAAAACATGTCCCTTCCCAACTCATCATCTCTTTAAGAGACTCTTCTATCAGAATTGACACAACCTCTGGAAAGCTCATTAGGAAGGGGGCCAGGGCCTCAAGGATGCTGTAGTACAGAGATTGAAAAGAAGAGAGAAGCAGTGAGTTGAATTTCCACTAAGAACCTACGTGCAGCTATCTAAAAAGAATACAGTACAAATGATTATTCTCCCTCTGTTAGTCAAAAACAGCTAAATGAGAGACAGAGAGAGAGAGAGAGAGAAAGAGAGAGAGGCTGGGTTGGTTTTTTTTGTCCTAGGTGATGTAGAGTAGGGAGGAAGAGGAGAGAGAGTTTTACTTCCAACAGAAAATGGAAAGAGTCTGAACAGAAGCCACAACAAAATTTCTTAAAACCTGTTTCCTTTATTCCTAAATGACTCTTTTTTAAAATCCATTTCTTTCTGTTGAGGAAAACTCTTTATATTGAGAAACTGCATCATCTATTTGTAATATCAAGAGGGAAGATAGAGTTGCAAAAAGAGAAAATGGAACTTGCCGCATAATTACAGTTGATTTTCTAATTACCTTTTGTGACTGAAAATTACCCTTTCCATGTGAAGTGTATTACCTGACTGCATCAAATGATTTTACCCCCTTCTAGTAACTATAATACAAGTGTTGAAGGTTTGGAGCAAAAAGGGACACCTTCAGGTGAAGGTTAGAGATGCTGAGATGGGGTCATGTGCCTGCAGTGGCAGATGGGACCTGATCTCTAGATGCTTAATACCCATTGGACTAAGTCTACTGCATGTTAGTACAGCTAGCAAAAACCATGCTAATGCACAGTAGACTTAGTCCTCACAAAAAAGTGTTTGTTTACACTAATGTGCAGCAACGCTGATTATGGCACCTTAAGTTAGTAGTAGTACCTGTTATTATAGGTACTAAAGTTAATTCTTCATAATTATAGCAAATTAATGAATGTGTAGATGCTCCCAGTATCATTTTTCCTGGCATATTGGTAATGACATAAAGCTTCTGCTCTGTAGATTTTTCGTTACTAGAATGAGGAAGATGCTGCTGATGCCTGTCTTTCAGTCCTGCTGGGAAAGAAGTTAAATAAAAATACTCAGTAGAACTAAAAACCTGAAATAGCAGCTGTGTTTAATGGTACAAGGTTTTAGTGACAGCAGGAGCATTTCACTCACTCTGGCTCTGATCCTTTAAGGCTCAGTCCTGCAGGGTTTCTGCAGTGTTGTGATGAGAACATAAATACTGTGCTGGCCTGGGGCCAAGATGTTCAGCTGGATCAAGTCCTGGATGTGCAGCAGGGAAGGTTTTGGTGTTTCCACACACAACTGTGAGTACAGTGTGTAGCATGTATGTAACTGGGAACCATCCTCTCCACAGAACAACAGCAAGCCTCAAGTGCCCTCTACAATCAGTCCTTTATTGCCAGGAAGCCAAGTTAATAAAAGAAGTGAGAGCTCTAGGCATAAAACTGGGTCTGAGGAGATAACTAAACTAATGAGGCCATTAACTCTATTTGCTTCGATGGGGCTTCCTTGTGTTACTAGACTGGAATAAGTTTGTGATCCTACAGTAGCATGCTGAGGGATGCAGATTTGCATTTCCTGAGTCCTGATCACTGCTTTTAACTTTGCATTAAACTATTGCAATCAAAACTTGGATAGAATAAAAATTCACTGCTTCAGATTATTACTTTTGTTTTAAAGGCATAAGGATACCTATCTCCAGAACTATCAACAGCAATCTTATGGGACATAAAAATGTATTGAGTTGTCAGTTATCACATGAAGACTCGGTAATTAAACATTGTCCTGCCACTGACCTATCAATTTACCAGTTTCTAAATGTAAATGCATGTATGCATGCATTTTATAAGGATGGTTTTGGCAAACACAAATACATTTTGCAAATGAATTTTGAAGCTGGTTTTTTGCTTTTTGTTTTTGTTTTTTTAAGGTACAAGTCACCAAATGATGAAACCTAAAACGCAGCATTTGCAGTAGCAGAAAAGCAAGCAACTCTCCACCAGTGCTACTGTTTTTCAATTGGAAGCTCACAGCTGGTCACCTTGCCATTCCCCACTAGGAAATTAATTTGAGCTCCATCCTGTAAAGTGCCGCTACCAAGCATTATGCCTTTGGTCCAGTGCTCACTAAAAGTCAGAATGAGAGTCCTTCTGTAACACAACCGCGTGTTGCTTTTTTTTTTTCTTTTCTCCATATATATGAGAGGGAGAGAGAGAGAGAGAGAGAGAGAGAGAGAGAGATGCATTCCTTCCCTTCCCCAACTATTTCTGACTTTTCCTCTCCCTCTCTATTCCCTATAGATAATTATAAGTAAGCTAAGATACAGGATAAGCTTTAACATTTTATTTTAGGAAGTAAGTTTTATTTTTCTCTCCCCTCTTTGCAAATAAGTGCCCTGCTATTTTGATATAGATATCCACTGTTTTATAAGTGATAATTATTATGTTTGTACTGCTTTTATATTGTGTGATTACTGTTTTAGGCCTATATATGTAACTTAAAATAAGTCATGTCAAGTTTCCATCTTGTAATGTCAAGCCTCCATCTTATCCCCATGCCCAGTTGTGTAACCTATGACTCATACTACCCCTCCTATGTAACTTGGTTCCTGAATGAATGGGGATGAATGAGGGTGTTTGAGAGACAATGGCAGTAGGTCTAAAAATAGCATTCTCTGAATGACTGAACCATCAACACCAATACTTGGACCAACGACTCAGCCATTGGAACCACCCTCAGCATTCAAGAAACAAAAGATGAGGCAATCCACCATTGTGCCAAGGCTGTACATGCTCAATATGAACATCTGGAGCCCTCTGGAACAGGACTGACATTGCCTGGACAGACCCGCCCATAGGAGATCAGAGGTACTCTGCCCCATAAAAAGGGGTAGTGAAGACTGACTCCTTGGGAACGCCATTTCCATCTGGACCAGACCAGCTCCATGTTATATCTACCCCAGAGGCCCTGCTGGCGACCTCCTCTGGACAACACCAAGCTGAAGGAGACCCCAACTGACCATTGAGGACCCACTTTCAGCCTGGGGTAGGTAGATATCACCTGCATATTTCCTCCTCCAATTTGGACTCTCTCTCTCTCTCTCTCCTCCCGGACTTCAGCCCCTGCACCAAGCCTCTTTAACCCCTGCTGCCATTTTGTGTGTATGCGCACACGTGCATGCGTGCGTGCGTGTGCACACAAAGGAACTAATAAAATATCGTGTCACCATCTCCCCTGTTCAAGAAAACCACTATCATTTGTAACCACGAGTTGCGTTGTGTTTTACTGAGCTCCGGTCCCTTCCCGATCTTAAATTCCGGTCTCTGTCTCTCTCTGCTCCAGTTTCTACCTCCCCGCCCCCAATTTTCCTGATCTCTCAATTCTGTCTCCCTTTTTCTGCCACCTCTCAGCTCCTTTTTGTCCCTTTTCTGCAAGCTCTTAGCCCTGTCGCTTTCTGCAAGCTGTTAGCCCTGCTCCCACCACTTTTTGCATCCTCTCAGCCCTGTGGCTTTCTTTTCACATCTTCTCAGCCCTGTCGCTCTCTGCAATCTCTCAGCCCTACTCTGTTTTCCTCTCCCCATGTACCTCTCAGCTCCTCTGTAGTCTCCTTGCCTTCTCCTGGGCATAGCTCCTTTGCTCTGCCAGCTTTCTGCTTTCAATTAACACCAATTAACCTTAAGTTATCCCAACTTCCCTCTAGTCTGTTGGTTCTAATCCCGGCACTGGCAACTTTCATCTCAGTCTCCACCTGAAGTAACCCCAAGCCTTAGCTCCTCAGCTCAGCTCTCTCTAAGTCTACCAGTACTAATCCCAGTCCCAGCAACTTTCACTCCCTACACTTTTACTCTCTCTCTCTTACCTTAACCTTCCCCCAGGTATCCCAAGTACACCAAGCACATAAATACACACCACACATCAGGAACTCACCTGTGTATGTGTGTAAGTGAGTGGTATGTATGTGAACTGATATACATGTATATCACTGTGTGCATGATATATGAATTAGTGATCCATGTATGTGTATTGGGTGTGCAGGTATTGGTAGTTGATTCTGGTCTAATTTCTTTTAGTGTGTATAGGTGCTTGAATTGGCGATAGGTGTGCATTTGCCTAGGCTGGTAATTTTGGATGTGTATGTGCCTAGATTGAGTGAGAGAGAGAGAGAAAGAGAGAGTGTGTGTGTGTGTGGGGGGGTGCATGTACCTAGAGCATGTGTATGCACCTAGTATATGTGTATATACCCAATTGATTTTTGAGTATGTGCATGTGCAATTGTATACCATGCCCTCCTGTCTAACAGTGCAATATTGAGATCCTGAGGGTTGGCCTGACCCCACAGGGCAACACTTCCAATGATTTCAGAATCCATGCTCTTTCCAAGCGTGTGAAAGATCAGCCATTTGGTTCATTAAAACCCTCCAAAATGGACTATGAATAAAATATTATCACTGCTGACATTGTCTTTGTTCCCTTTGTGTGACCTCCTTTAACACAGACAAAACAAAGGCTTGATTTATTTCCAGAAATAAAAACTTAATTGCTAAAATCAATCACATTGCAATTTTAATAGCAAACAACCAAGCAGTTAAAAATAATGGAAGTGAATGGTTAAAATAAATCTGTTATTACCTACATAATAACAATGTACAGATTTTCAGTAGAGAAAAAATGCATATTGAGTGTATCCTTAATATATAATGTTCATATTTCTTTTTCAAAATGGAAGTTAGCTGTATTTATTGGTTGAAATTCCCAGAAAAAAAGTGATGGTATTCATTCAGGGCCATAGTTACAGTTTGTGATGAATTATACATTCTTCTTGATAAGAAAAATTTATTACATGGGTAGCATAAGATGTATAATGCATTTAACTAATCCTTCTTGCTTTGAGTCCTGGAGTTTGACAAGTGAGGGGACAGGTAAAAATACTGACCTTACTTAGCACCTGAGAACATTTTGATTTTGGACACAGCTTTTAAAATTTCAAATAACTAGACTGAGACCAGTTGGCAGACTATTGCATTTATAAAGGAACGAGTAGCTGGCAATTAAGCAATAGCATCCTTTCATCTACGAGAGATGGTGGATATTTCAGCCTATGACGTACATGGTTTGCATTGTCTCATGTGACTGAATAATTCAGGGGCAGGCAATTATTTTGGGCAGAGGGCCGCTTACCAAGTTTTGGCAAGCTGTCAAGGGCAGTGTGGATAACCCTGCCGCTTGACAGATGCCCCACCCCCTGGTCACCATCTTGGGACTGGAAGTCCCGCCCCTAACCTCTGACCTTTGCCACTGGAAGCCTCTCCCCATTCTCCTAGGAGTACTCCTTTGGGGAAGAGGGTTTGTCATCTTAGAACAGGAAAAAAACCCGCAAATTATATACTAAAAATCAAACACCCATAATAACATAGTTTAATTTAATTTTTTTTTAAATTGTGTCCCGATTCGTGTGCATTTGTACTGTATATGTAAAAGTGATTGCATAATAGCTCAAAATGCAGTCTTCATTTTGTATAGTGTGTGGGGTGTGCAGGAGTGTCAGGGGGTACGGGTGGTTTGTGGGGATGTGTGTGTGGGTATGGTATTTGTGATTGTGCATGAGGAAGGGTGTGGCTGTGGGGTTTGGGGGGAAAGGTCTGAGGGTATGTGGGGTATACATGGGAGCCCCCTGTATGCGCCCCCCTGAGCCAGTCAGCACCCACCCCCACCCTGCAACAGCCCAGAGCCCACGCACCCTGTGGTACCTCCCTGCCACCACCAATGCACAGTCCCAGTGCACCCCGCACCCACTCTGCATCGCCTGGCTGCATGCAGCGGTAATGGCAGGAACCAGTTCATGCAGCCATGACCCTGCGTGCCTGGCGCCGACTCCAGGTGCACCTGATGGGGCTGAGCAGCAGCAGTGGCAGCAGCAGAACCTGGGCAGAAACTGCTGCTTGGTATAGGGAAAGTGGTCCCTCCCCTTCACTGCCAAAGGGCAGTTTTTGCTGAGGTTGCCCAAAGCCTGCACCAGGCTGTGGTGCAGCTCCTTTACTGGCACCTGTGAGCTGCCCTGCAGCTGCTCCACACTGTCACTGCTGTCACACTGGGCAGCCCAGAGGCGGTGAAGGAGCTGCACTGCAGCCTAACACAGCGAGGGTTCCATGCGGCCACAGGAGAAACTGCCCAGCAGTGGTGAGGGGGAGGGACCACTTTCCCTGCACTGAGCAGCAATTTCTGCCCAGCTTCTGCTGCTACTACTCAGCCCCAACAGGTGAGCCCAGAGCTGGCACAGGGCCCTGGCTGAGCAGCAGTGGTATGGGACAAACTGCTGCTCAATGTGGAGGAAAAGCAGCCCCTCCCACTGCCAGCGCTTCCTGGTGCAGGTGCTTGGAGGCCATGCAGGGCTGTCCTGTGTCTGCTCTGTGCTGTCACTGCTGCCCCGTGGGGCAGCGACACAGTGGAGATGCAGGACAAAGTATACATAGAAGGGACAGACAGTTCACATTTCGGGCCTGTGAAATCTTGTAAGCTTACAGAGCCCAGGTGCACTCTAACAAACAATATTGCAATGTTGATAATATGTAGAATTGGAAGTGCTGGATAAATGCAGATATTGTTATTGCCCACTATTAGAGTGAAAATAGGCAATCTATTCAAGGCAAGGCTGTTGTTTAGCCAAGTTTTACCAGTGTAAGACCAGACCAGAAAACAAACTGTGATTGTGAAATCTGAAACATATTTTCAAGTCCATGTGTGGCCCTACCATTTATATTTCATGCTGAATTATTCATGTTCAGTGTCACCTAACTGTGGAAAATGAGTCTTTATAATTTGCGTAGCATAAAGAAAATTATTACTGGAAGATATTTGTTTTAATTTATTTATTTAAAATTCCAAAAGTTGGCACATATGATGTTAGGCTTAATTGTTTTATTTGTTGTATTTTAAACACACTGTTTTAAACGTTGCAATTTGTCACCAAAACATGAATAGGTGGATACAAGTGCTGCATATATTT